CCAGAAAGCTGTGTGCGATCCCCTAGCAGGATTCTAGTCCTTTTCTCCTTTGAATTTCTAAGGATGATTTTATCCAATTCAATTATATCACACTTTGATTCAAACAGTGAAACACTATCTTCTCCTTGTTGCATAAGTACATTTCACATTTTATGCAACAAACATTTCTTTTGGTTTCCTTTCCTGTTCCAAAGTTTTCTTGAATTCTGATTTGTATTTAAATATTTTTTTTTCACTCTTCTACTGTTTATGTTCAGCCCTCAAACATTATGCTTAAAAATTAATTCCTGTAGTGAGTTTTTTCTCACACCTCTTGAAAGAGTTCATTATTATGCAAACGGAGAGAGCCCTTACACAGACTAATCTGTAACATTTTCTCTTCTCTTACAGCCCCATCTCCTAGCTTGGGCTGTGACTACACTAGACCTGTTTTCCCTGAGATTTCCCACTGTTGCTACCACTGGGAAGGCTAGAGCATGTAGAGCTTCTGAAGCTGTGGGCATTTTTACCACTGCATTGTCTGCCTCTGCTCAGAGAAGGTCTAGATGACATGGTGACAAAAGAACTAGTGGTCATTACAACCCTGTCTATATTAACTACCACTGGAGCTGCACCAGTGTTAGCAATGTGATGTTATTTGTACGGCATAGGCTAGGGAGCCCAATCACAGACCAAGACCACATTGTGCTGGGCACCATATAAACACATAACAAGACAGTTCCTGCTACAAGGAGCTTTCAAATGAATGATAGGCAAGCCCGTACTAAAATATACTTATTAAACATATCAGATACAATTAATATAAAATGCAAGGCACCAACAGTCATGCATAGTAACAAGAGAAATACACACAGAATGTATCTGAAGTATGTGTGCACTTGTTTCTCCACCTCCACTAATCCTAATGATAGGAGCACTGTAGGCCTTTGCTAGGATACTGTCTGCACTGTTCTACCAAGGATGTCACAAGCAAAGCACTCCCAATCCCTGCCTTCAACTAGGAGGTGGAAAAAGAAGTCAGTGAAACAGGACATTCATCTCAGAGTCTGATTCAGCTCCCATTCAGATAAATGAGAGTTTTTCCACTTATTTGAATAAGAATGGATTGGGCCCAAATTTATCTTAAATTGAAAAATAAAACAAAACTGGAGGTTTGATTTTAATGTCCCTACCATTATTGAAATGTTTATTTGAGAGAGTATATCACCTTGTAAGATTGCTCACACTTCATTTTAGTTGGATACAGTACTTCTTTAATTGTCACTTAAACGTCTGTGAAATTACCAGATTACTATTTTTACTGTAGTGACACACAGGAACACAGTCAGGCATAGGCAGCGCATGAGTTTTTCAATTGGGGAGGCTACTCCCGTGAGTGCCGGAAGCTCCACAGAAGTGGGGGGGCAACCAGCGCTTGGACTGTGGCTCTTCCCCCCGAGGCTCCAACACTCCCCTCTCCCTATGGCCCCACCCACACTCTGTCCCAGGCCCCGCCCAGGCTCTTCCCAAGGTCCCACCCTCTCTCTGCCACTTGCTGCTCCCGCTCTGTCTCTTCGCCTGAGGCCCTGTCCACTGCTCGCTCCTCTCTGCCCACTTCTCCCCACTTCCCTGCTGCTTGCCAAATCACTTTTTTCCTGCGAGGGATGGGGGTTGGGAGGGAGGGAGCAGAGAGGAGTGAGCAGCAGGCAGGGCCTCAGGGGAAGAGGCAGAGCAGAGGCTTGGCCTCAAGGGGGAGGTGTGAATCCGGGGAGCGTCCAGCTCTCGTACTCCCCGGGTGCAAAGGCGGCGGGCCAGCAGGCCTACGAAGGGAGGTGACCTGCATCCAGCCTTTGCTCCCTGCCTGGCCAGCCTTTTTATTTTGGGAAGGCTTAGCCTTCCCAAGCCTCTAATACGTGCCGCCCATGCACTCAGGGACTCCACTTTGCTACGTGCTGTAAAGAACACAAGAAAAAGATTTTTTTTTTGTATTTTGTTTTAAATAAACCCAACCTGTGTTTCTAGAATAGAACAAAGAGTTCAGTTTAATGAAGGAGTGCATGTCATTTAACTGGAAATCCCTAACAAGATATGAAATGAGGAATAAGGGGGGTGTAGGGGGGATTAAAATTCCTGACATCCTAAATTATAGAAGAAATTTCCACACTTGTTTGTAACAAAAGCAAAATATAAGAGCTCTGCCAAAGAGGCTTGCTTTTAGTGTTAGTGAAGGCCTAAGGAAAAAACACTGTTTGTATTGTACAATGAATTTATAATATTGACTACCCCAGCCTAATCTTTCTACTTGTGAATGAAAAGGGAAGTTTTGAGAATGTCAAGGTTATTTTTATGACGGTTAGGAAACAAAGTTATGGAACTGCCTGTAAGCCTAAGGAGGATGGGGGATGGACAGAATTGTTGCTGGCTGGAGAGAAGGGCATGGCTTGAAGAAGGAGAATTAGAAACTGTCAAAAGATGAGTAGGGGATCTGATAATGTGGTTCTATATAGACCTGGCTAGCTCATCTTGATTTGCAGTCTTTAGTTTTCACAATGATGAATTCACTATGTGCCCGTTTCTCATTCTAACTATAGTAAGTGTGAAAGCTGATGATTAATACTGCAGAACAGGTGATTGTTGTTCAGTGATTATAAAACATCAATGTATGAATGTCTGACTCAACATGCCTGAAGTCAAAAGCAGTGGTAGAAAACTGAATGGACTGAACTAATGAAAACTCATAATTCTTCAAAAGTAAACTATTAATATTGTCAAGAATAGTTAAGTGACAAGATACAAAGGATTCATGCTCCTCTCAGAAAAATGCAGAAAAACAGCTTTTTCTAATTCTTCAAGATCAAATGTAGAACTGAATGACAGTCTGTCTCCTTAAGAAGAACAGAACACTGATGACCTTAGCAGTGTGACATGTGTGATGCCATCACTGTCACCGTAATATACATTTAAGTCCCTGATACAGGTTTTCCAGCAGCTCTTCAACAACATCTTCATACATTAACAATCTCTGTTCATCTTTGACACCCCAAAATGGCAAAAATGAGTATGTGATTATGCCATAAAAGTAAAAAGCAAACTTAAACTTGATAAGGAAACTATAACCTTCTTTTATGCCTTCCACAAACTGAACAATGTGAAGAAACAATTGAAGTGCTATGTCCTCAATCTATTCCTCCAGACAGACTTTAACTTACAGATCTACTACTAAATGCACGTGAAGAAACAATAGAAAAGAATTAAAAGAACCAACGCTGATATTAATGTTACATGATTGCTCAGACATGAGAAATGACCCGCTAATGGCTACAGAGGGAAAAATGCATTTCCACTTACTGCTGTTTAGTCTGTATCTGAAAAGAAAACTGTTGAATATTGTAAGCAACTTGCTGAAGATGACATCCAATGGAGGTCTTTGCCATTTGCTCAGACAACAATAATACAATTAAAAAGATGGAAGAATTTCAGATGCAATCATTCTAAATCTGTGTGTTCTGAACACTATTTAAGAGAAAGTAAAGCACACCATGAAAATTCAAAAATTCTGCTGCCACCCATAGCCTCCTAGTTGATTGTCTGAAAATGAGATTTACTGTAGCAGCTTCATAATGACACCTGAGAATGAATATCTGCATTTGCATCCAACTACCATAAGTATGCTGAAATTTCCAATGAGCATGAAGAGGAATTTTATCAAAATAAAGCAAGCATTTTACAAATAAAACAAGCATCTTACATAATGAGGGATTCTAAAGAGAGGCACTAACTTAGTAAAAAAAAACTTAGTAAAAGCAACTGAAGGTTTCAGAAGGACATGACTGATCAACAGGCTGAAAAGTACTATCAGAATCTCAATGGAAATCTCGTTTGATGTAATAATGAATTCAAACCACATAAGGAAAAAAAATCAAAGAACAATTCAGGAGCTACTATGGAACCTGCCTATTACTTAGCCAGCATGACCAATTTCCAAATAGGTTGGATCATGGGTTGAACCCAGCACCAGAAGAAAAGGCCGAAATGTGACTGATGTAATGTAGTCCTGTTCCTTCCTTCTGTTCTAGAATGTTAAACAGAAGATCTGGATCTCTACTCCAAACGTTTTTTGTGAAGGAGATTAATTGTGTCACAAATCAGTCAATTAAAATGACAGAAAGTTGCAGGGAAGAGGGGGAAATCAAAGAAGCCTGGACAGTTGAGTTGAGAATTCTGTCAATTTTGAAAAGATTTTCATTCTTGTCCAGCCAGTTCAATATCAATAAAGTGTTCTCAGCATATCTGGGCTTGTTCCGTGAAAACTCTGTAACTGGCTAGGTTCGATTAACTAATTTACTTGCTTTAAGTGTATGGGTCTCTAAGGCCAGAAACAACAGGTCTAACTAGTTCATAGATTCAGAATCTCTCTAGTTGTATCTTTTGCAGGGCTGGATTTACAATTTATGCACCCCTAGGCACAGCATCTTCAGCCCCCACCCCATCTCCCACCGCCTACAGCTGACCTTCATATTGCACACAGTTTTAGAGAGGTAAGATACCTCTAGAATGCCAGTGCCCCATGGCATGTGCCTACTGTGTCTAATTGGAAATCCAGCCCTGATCCTTTATTTTATTTACAGAGTTGTAAGCTTTTCATTTAGGACAATGTAGGCATCTTTTCAGGTTTGAGATTCATTTTGTATAGCATATTTATTGCTCATTTTGCTTTTCCGTTTTCTTGGGGTCTTTCACTGTTTTCACCCCAGTGTTTCTCCTTCCCCCAGCCATCATCACACACTCCTAGAAGAAAACGAGTGGGTTTTTTTTTCAGCTAGGGAAATCACAACCATGTTGCTTAACCAGCACTGAAGCCAAGATGTTAGTAATTTACAGGTTCAGTTTTTATTCAGTCAACTGAATGTGTTAGCTGTAACAGGGCTGGACACCAAAGAGGCACATAAAAGACTAATTAAATATCAGATTTGGAGTTCAGTTCAAATAATTCCACAAAAAAATTGAAATAGTATTGTTACCTGAGGTAGCACTGCTGGTCCTTGTCCTGCCAACCTCTGCAAGGAGCTGACCTGAGGAACTTTAATGGGCACTGTAGTGATAGTTCCCAAAGCCTGTCAGAAGAAAATAGTTGAACAGGGTTTGAAACAATGGAACTCTCAAAACTCTCCACAGACAGACTGAAACCTACCCAACTATTCCCTGTGTTTGTTATTCTTCTCTGTATTAACTCTCCGTAGTTGGGAGTAGCACACTGTAGCATTTCAGTCCATTTGGAACTCTCTCTCCCTCCCTGCTTCTGAGACAGAGAATTGTTTCACCTCTTTAATCTTCTCTTAAAAGCGTCCTTAATTATGATCTATTGTCTTTGTGGAACATTTCGCAATACTGAGTATGAAGGATTTGTCTTGTAATGCATACCATCCTAGTTATTTTAAAGGTATTTTAGTGCCCTGTCAAGTTCAAGGTTTGTTTGTGCAGTAGCATGTTTTCAAAAGTGATCCAAGGAAAAGAGATACATGCTGCCCTCGTTTTTCAAAAAGTGGGGTTTAAAGATGTTACTTTACATGTTGCCAGGCTACCTTTAAAAGTTCAGTGAGTTTAAAGAGTATATTTTATTTTTACCATAAATATGAAATTTGGTATATGCTGATCTGTTACAGTCCCATCAAATCCAAAAGCAGAATGCAACCTCTGGAGGTACAATAGTGTATCAGTAATCTAAAACTGCTACAGGATACACTCGTTTTGAGTCCACATGTCAGTTGCCACTACTCAAACTTACTCTACCTATACATTCTTCTCTTATTTGTGTTACAATTGTTTTCAACATTTAAAAAAGACCTGACTCTTCATATAAACAAAGCCTTCATTTTAACCTATCTGAGCTTTACTTCAGACATATTGGGTAACTGAGGTGATACTTGATACCCAGTTATTTTCTTTATGCTTTGAGATTGCAGTTGGTTATCAGTAGGCTGGAGAGCAACATAAATTTCTGTGATGAGAGATTAGAAACACCCCTCCCTCTGAAATTTGTTTTGATTCATTCTTCTGCTCTCCTAACCCTACAAAAAAGTGGGGGTTTTCTCTATTCAGAAAAGATTAGAACTTGCACTGGGAGTGGTTGAGTCCTACAGACCAGTGGAGTTCACCAGTTTGTCTTTGCAGAGTCAGTGTTTCTGTAGTGCTCTCTCTCTCTCTCAATATTTCTGCAAGAACAAGTTCTTTTTGAGTACTACCCAGTAATGTCCCTCTGAAAAACAGCATGGCAGGCTTCAACGGTGCCTTGAGAGAAACACAGTGAGCTGAGTTTACATCTCCTTGTAGCAGTGGGAGTAAGTTGCACCTCCATGTGCAAGTGAAGACCTTTGCATCAGAAGAGGAAAGATCAGGCAGTGTTTTCACTGTAGTAATCCCACATAGATTACACACAGCAGCACCATTGGAGGCTCACAAGTAGAGGCTGTATTGTGGATTATCTGAATCACCACCTCCTCCAGCCTCCTTACCCAACCAGTGCTAGGCACTTTTGGTGTGTGGTGTTGGTCTCTTGCAGGCCCTGGGGAAAAAGGAAAATTGTAGCCACCTTTTACCATTGCTGGGGACTCAGCTCCTTCCTTTATGCCAGTATAAACTGGGAATGAGCGAGCCCAGCCCTTCTGCTCTCTAAGGTGAAAATGAAAAAGAACATACAACATTTCAAACAACCAAGAACGGAGGAGATAGTTTAAAGTAGCTACTCCCATACGATTCAGGTTCTCCCTCCACTCCAATCTTCTTTGTAGTTAGAATAATGAGGTTACTTCTGTAGTATAATGTGCCTGTAACAGGGTGGTCATTTACTGATGACCCCACTGTGGTCAGGGGTCACTCTGCAGGCAACTTGGCCCTTTAAGCCTCTCTTGCAAGCCTCTTAAGAACTTCCTAAAGGCTTTCAGGGAGATAACAAAACCCCCAGCCTGCAGCTGGTTTAATAACACACAGTTTTTAATAATCCTCAGGGTCCCAAAATAAAGTCTATCCCCACACAACAGTCCACACTCAGCTCTGGTGTCTTCTCTTACAGCCAGAGCTCTTCTTTTGACCCAGTCTCTTCTTATAGTCTGTCCTCCCAGCTCCTCCTCCCATGAGCCTGAGTCAGCTGACTTGGGCTCTGAGATTTGGTGCCACCATTTTTTTATTGCAGTGTAGACACACCCTTGGTTTCAGGGTCTTCCCTGCAGGAGTCCCTCACACTCCCTGTGTCCCTCTACACTTTCCTGTGCTTCCCCCCTTTATTATAGCCTCCTGCTGCTCTTTAGAGGGCAATCACCTGGCCCTCTCTCAGGTGTGACATATTCTGTAATCAGGGTTGGCTGGACTCCAACTATGAACCACCTTGTTACAGTGCCCAAATAGTAACCTAGAAACAGCTGGACATTCACAATTTATCTTAGACCACAGAACGTTTCTCTTCAAGTCATTGGTCAAAAATTATTGAACCCTATTGGCTATTCAGCAGCCTGGGTAAAATGAGTTAGTGGTCTCTGTTCAGTTTCTCTTGGTGAAGCATTCTCATTACAAAAGGCACTCTTGCTGGTAGTCTCACCAGACGGCTTAAGGGCAGAAAGAGTGCTACATTGCAGGTAGTACATTGGCTACAGTGTAGTACATTAGCAGGGTGGCAAAGGAAAGCTGGCACTGCTGCTGTCCATGCTGCACACTCTGTGGTCAGGGGATTTCCTTTCCCAACAGTGTTAATGTAGCACCTTCTGTGAGCATTAAATAGACAAGTTAAAAAGGAACCCATTCCTCAACAACTGAGTCTGATTATTCAGTGGTCTGAACCCTGAGTCATTTACACCAATGCAAAGCAATGCAAAGGGTTAAACACTACCCTTTTGATTTTACACCCACTTTACCCCCGTGTGAATGATGACAGAAGGTGCAGGGCAGCCGACCTGCACCCTCTCCACCAAAAATCTTGCTCATGACTGTTCTAGCATTTACAGTAAAGATGAAGAGATCCCATGATGTACACACACCCTCTACTAGTGAGTTAATATAAAAAGTCCCCCACTTCTCTGAGCTGGAGTCAAAGTGGTTGCATCTTTCACTGTCAACTAATTTTAGATGTGCAGTTACATATACTGAAAACACACAGTAAACACACAACAAAAGGGTTTTCAGACTGCACAACAGTGCATCCCAGATTAGAATAAAAAGTGTTGCTAATGAAAGGATTGGGAATTGAACATGAAACAAGGAGTCCAATTAAACAAAAGTCATTTAAGAAATACTTGTCAACAAGTAAGATACTGTAAACAAAATTCCATATTGAAAAGATCTTTCTTGCACTTCTTTAAATATATGATCTTAAAAACAAACAAACTTGTAACAAAAATTAGAGCTTTCCTCTAATCATATTCCTCCAAGAAAGGACCTCATCTTAACTTATGTATGCATTATAGTAGCAGTTCTGATACATTTACAACAAGGAAGATTGAGTCAAAGTGGTACGGGGATGGGAGGAGAAAAGGGGAACTCCAGAAGCTACTTTGTACTATATTCTTAGTTCATTGCTCTGATATCCACGGATGACACATTTTGGCTGTGTTTTCAAATGAAGCTATCATTAGTCCTGTCACCTACACTCTCAAAAAATGCTCTAGATTTATTTCCCTGAAGAAGCTCAGAGTACTGCTGCTACCTCTCAAATGAATGAAAACAAATTATGGCACTCTTCTGTTATGAAATTTTCAGTACAAGAGATGCAGCTTAGGGTTTACCAACTTTTTGATATTAAAGAACTTCTGTTTTAAATATTTAAAGGGACATTGCCAGGGTAAATCTCACACGTGGAAGGTGGAAGAAAAATCCAAAATGTTCTTATATATATTTCTTATAGCATCAAGGAATACAAAAAATTGAGACAATTTTAAAAAATACAATTTACTTCTCACTATTTGTGCTGTTTGCTTACTGTTTATCTCTCTTTGTTTGGACAATTAAAATAGGTCAAGTCAGCACATTAGCAGAAGTACATGAATAATAAAGAATAAATACTTTGCACTTATTTGTAGTGCCTTTCAGCTAAGAATCTCAAACCCCTTTGCTAAGGTGGGTTAGTATTATCATCTCCATTCTGTCATGCAAGAACTGAAGGTCAGAGGCACAGTTAGGTATCGGGCCAAAAAGTTTGCCCACCCCTGTTCTAATCCCAAAGCCTCATTCACCTCAGGTGTTACTCCAGTTCCATGTTGAACACCTTTTAAACTGGAATAGCAAAGTCGTGAATCAAACTCTAGCTACCTGAAACAATGCCTCCATGCTGATTGGGGGATACAAAAATAAAAGGGGGAGATTTTGGTCACAGTTCTTATGGAAGTACTGAGGTTTAGGAGTGAGAGCTGAGATATGCGGCGATGTGGTTCATCTTTAGATTATTCCTGTTTCTCAGTAACGTAACTTGGTGCAGACCTGGAGTAAGAGTGGTGAATCAGGTCCCTTGCTCTCAGCTAAAAATATTCGACCACATTGTCTCCTTGAGGACTGTAATCAAGATCCTCCTCTCCACAAATGTGGATAACTTGTTTTTCCCCTTCAGAGATACCAGCTATCTCACAAGCAACCCATACGTTCCATGGTGAGCGTAGGTTGGGCTTAGCCTCTTGTCTCTCATTGCTGCCATTCTATCCCTTTCTTCCATTTTGGGCTTCTTCCCCCCTCCATTTGTCAAAAGAGCAAGCTGGTGCACATTCTTATAAACCTTTAATTAACAAGCTGAAAAGACATTTTTCTGGCAATGCCTGACCTTTAAGCACTTTGTATGAATTTATCGATACCAGCAGAAACAATAATTTAAAAGGTTATTTTATGAGTGCAGAATAGTTTATAGCAGCACTTTTGTCACGATAAATGAGTTTCTTATTACTACATTTACAGCTCTAAGCATTTTAATAAAAAAGGACCATAAAAGTCGAAGATAACTTCAAATCTCTCCTTTATCTGCAGTCTGTGAGGGTTTCTGGTGACCCCCTGAAATACCTACACTGCTATATACTTCTAGTATGTGAAGGGAGCTGGTAATGGAGAGAAGGTTAAGAATCCCTATTCATCTTACCTGAATTCT